AAGTATCAGATTGAAGTTCAGGAAACCATGCTGACACTGTGGAATTGAATTCATGATTTGGCATTAACATTCTAATTAAGGTTTTGCTTGGGTTGCCATTTTAACCTTCCCCTAACTCCCCCGACCCCTCTGCCCTGACCATTCTGGAAAATCCAACATCCTGTCGTTAGCTCTGGACCGTTTGGAAACTATGGTACAAAGTAAGAAGTTTGGAATAAAAAGCAGGGGACAGAAGCAGAAAATCTTGATTAGAAAGTATAATTTAATAGAACGTGTATTGAACCAAATGTATTGATTAATGTGGAAGATATAGTACTTATATTGATTCTAACTAGAGATTTAGTACTAAAAGCTGTAAGCCAAAAAGCTGTTGCAAATTGCTACAAAAGTCAGTTTAATGCTGTCCTTGAGAATGCCTTCACAAAGAAATTCTTCTAATGTTTGAGGAGTAGGTAGAATGCGGAATATGTCAGTTTGATCCCGGAGGGTTTTATTTTGTACTCTAATAGCTGTTACGAGCCTACATTATATCCAAGGAGTAATTTTCCTTAGGGGTGCCCAGCTCGCTTTGTGTCAATATTCTAGCATTTTAAGTCACGTACAGTATATGCTTCTGGGAACAGTGCAGGAGCCAGCCAGACTCATAATGGTCTGCATTCATTAATAAAGGCAGAAGCTTCTGTCCCTCCATTGCCCACTACAGGGATGCCTCCCTGGTCTTTAGGGACCCGTACAGACACATTTAAAGAAAGCTTTATTTTGAGTGGGCAGGAGATGAAATGCAGGACTTGCAGGCATTTCCTAAGTCAGCTATATGCCCAAGCACAGGGGTGACCTTAATAGGTCAGAGAAGAATGCAGGTCAAAAGACTTATTATCCAGCCTGTTGGAAACCAATTGCTTTTGTTAAAAAAAAAAAAAAAAACGTAGTGCTTAAAGGTTGATAGTAATGTAGAATTCTTCTTTACAACCCGAAATTGTATTGTAGTGCAATGGGGTTATAAAGAAATAAAATAAAGATTATCCTTACTGTCTGCAGATAAAGGAGTCCATATATAGGATAACATGTAGTGTCCCATAATTAGTTAATCAGTGATGATTGATTACGGATGTTTATGTTCTTGAACTAAGGAAAAAATAATATGCTGCTGTGGTACTGTCACCATCTGTTGAAGGAAGACAGCCACATTTAATCTTTATATTTCTTTATTTGTACCCTCCTTGCACGGTTTCTCAGGTTCAATTGTGTCCTATTTCATCTAGTTAAAAAACATCTCATTTAAATTGAATGCAACTGCAATTCACGTTAGAGATTCCAATGAGATAGTGAATCAGTGGGGTTTTTTTCTTCACTGAGTTTGATGCGATGGATGGCATTTTTTGCTAGCTAGTATGTCTGTTTTCTGTCTGAGATATATAGAGAGAGAGAGATACCAAAAAACAGAAAAAATATTACTTTCTACTGTCTTAACAGTTTCTGTAAAACAACCTCATTCTCTTTGCAGCGGAGATTTCTCTACCACTATTGTAGTGAAATCTGTGTATGATTTTAACCTTACAGCACTAAGTACAGGGATTTCCCAAGGCTATCTACTCATGGAAAGCAATGTAGTCTAATGTTTAAAGCAGCTCACTGGGAGTTGGGATTCTGGGTTTGTGTCACTGGGTTGGCTAGAAACCAGATAAATATGTTTTGAAAGAATTTTATCTGTGAAGTATGTTGAAGCCAAGTTCTTGTCAATGTTTCCTAAATAAAATCAAGGTAGGGAAGTAAGGATTTGTGAACATCTTTCCTAGTTTCTTTGCTTTTTATTGTGAGTAATAGATTCTGTGGCAAAATGGGCTGCCATTTTGTGTGTGCAAAACTCTCATTTGTGTGCGCACACCCAGTTTTTCATCATGAAATCAGACGACCTTTGAAAATGTTACCTAACTCTATTGGTGAGGATGTGTTGGAAAATATATTTTTTCTCTTTCCACTGCTAAGTATGAAATAGAAATTTTTGCTTCACAGAGGGACTGACTGTACTTCATGCTCAAAGGAAAATACATGTCTTTATTGTGGTGATAATGAATATATGATGTCTTCAGCACTTTAGTTGAATTACATATATTTAGGAAAAAAAATACGACCAATTGCTCCAAATTCAGGACAGTTATTTGCTGTAGTAAATTTCTGGAGCAGAGATTTTTAAAACTTCTGCTCTTAAATGTTCTGTGTCTTCTGTTAAGGGCAGATTCTGATGGCATAGCCACACAGCAGTTCCCAGCACTAATATTCTGCTCTCCCTGTGTATACAGGACTCCCATGTTCCTGGCAATGGGAGTTCCATATTGTGTTTTCCCCACATGCGGGAACTCACACTGTTATGAAAGTGGGAGTTCTGTGCACATAGGGAGAGCGGAATATCAGCATTGAGATCTGCTGTGTGAATAATACAGAAGAATTTTGCCCTAAATTTTTAAACACAACCCCCCTCAGAAAAAACAACAACAGTTCATAACTGGGATTAATGTTTGCAATTTTCAGTCACTTAAACATGGGGTCTCCAATAGATGGCTTTTTGTAGGATGGAATATGGCTCTCTGTGGGATTACAGAATTTGCCTCCTTTTCTTTTCTCTACCCTCCCATCCTTCACCTGCTTGTCTTGTCAATGTTATGCCTGTGACGTGCTTTCAGTTTTAGTTTATGAAATAGCCTTTCTGCTGTTTGTGTATTTCTCCCTAATTCACTGCTGCCTCAGAATACATTTTGGAAGCATTAATTGCTTTGGAAAACTTGACCGATTGCCTGCTGTTTTGACTCTTTAAAATAAGTACAATTGCTTGATGAAGGTTGAAGCTGCCCCAGCTCTTTCCATTGGGGACAGTGTTTGTTGTGTCCTGTCCTATTCAGCATTTTTCTCACACCACTTGTTTCTGAATGTATGTCTTCATTATCTCTTGAGAATCTCCATTATGTGCCAGGCAGTATAGTCTGGAACACAGAGCACCAGTGCAAGTGGATCCCATTTCATGGTTTGTTTTGTCTCTCTCACTTTTGTGCCTTTTTATTTTTAATAAAAAATGTTATTGCAGCCGAAGTACTGAGCACACATGTAAAGCTCCTTTCAATTGTTTCACACACTGCTGCGTGGCTCTTCCAGACCCAAAACTGATTACGTGTAGCTCAGACAGTCAAAAAGCAGGGGATGACTGACACATACTCCCATTAGATCAAAAACAAAAAATACCCCAAAAAATCTCTCTTCGAGGTAACAATTTGGCTCTGACACTAACCACTCAAAAGCAAAGAAAACCAAATGTAGGTTGTCACTCCATGTTTAACTTGTCCCATTGTTTCTAGGTACTGCAGGGTTTCAGATCGGTCTGTGGTGTTATAAGCGCTGCAATAATGGATGCAACAGGATGACAGAAGGGTAGACGGTCAGAGTTAACTCTTAATTCCCTTGCTTTTATGGTTTAAAGTCAGAATCTATTACCCGTGACCAACCAACATTTTAGTCCGCAACATATTGTCACTGCTTTATAGCACTTTGAGATGACTTTGTGGAAGATGATATACAAAATCAAATGGAATAATAATCTCTTTTTAACCACTGGCCTTGGTGGATCTGGAGTCCCTGCTATATCAGCATTTAATCATTTTGTATTCACATCTGGAAAACGTGCTTCCAAGTGTCACTGGGTCATTTTCCTTTTCATCTTGAGACAGGCACTACTTAAAAAATTCCTCGGTCTTACCCTGAGAGAGATCCTTTTCTTGCCAAATATCCCATGAACGTACGTGTGTGTGTGTGTGGGTGGGTGTAGAAACGATATGATGTATTGTTAGATTAGCACAGAATCACACAATATTCATCTTTATTTTTCTGTGGCTGCATTTATGTTTGTATTCAGGAGTGGCTCTTGAGGGTGTGGTTCAATACATGTTCACTTCACGGAAAATGATGTCCATCTTTTGGGCATGGGTTCGTTTTAAAGTGTTGTAGTCTGGAGGAGTCTGTATGTAGATTAAAACTGATAAAACAAGGGGAGGGGACTGTGTACTTTAGGAACTGATAACGGGACACAACACCCTTCACCTCTAGGTCACTGGTCCGAATAGAGCCCGGGTCAGTAGTGACAAAAATTCATTACTATCTGATGGCTGTTCTGTGGTCTGTGAAATAAGATTGTGGACTTTGTCCAGTTCTCTGTGGATATGGTCTACATCACAAAAGAAGAATCAGCATGAATTGGGAACCTTTTCTTAGTTGCCAGATGAAGCACAGAGACTAACGTAGCATCTCATCCAATAGTGGTGATCCCTTTGCATTAGGACTGGTGTAGTGAAACTTGCACTGCTGCTGCCCTCTTTGCACTCTTTCTGTGGATAAATAGCGAACTTCATATTTCCAGAGCTGATGCTGTCACCTTTTACATGGCAATAAATTCACTTAAGGAAACAAGGGTTGAGTTGTTCTTTGGTGGATAGAGGGATAGTTCTGGCTTCCCCACCTGCTTGTCAGTCAGCCAATTGAGTGCTTTGGTGGGCATGTCGGCTCCTACTTTAAAATATGCGCTTCTGATTGGGGGGAAATGTCTGGTTGAATTTTCTAGTAAGGATGCTAAAATTAATGTATTTCTAGTGTGTAGGCATTAAGGCCACATAAGAAAAAGAAATGTGTGTCTCATTATATATAATGGGCTAAATTCATCACTGTGTGACTGGGCACTGGAGCCAGTGAAGTTGTGTTCACTTTCAACAGGGCAGAATTTGCTCTAATGTACCTTGAGGTATTCAACTGATATTCATGTGACTTATAGAAATGATACCAGTGCTAAAAAGCCTCATCTTTTAACAGCAAACTTTCTCCAGGCCATTTAAAAGAGAGATGGCAAACATGTTTCTCTTGTATACAATATAATATATTCAGCGGGTAGCATTGTTAACGCAGCTTTTTCTTGTCGCAGTGCCTAGACTACAACTAAGTCACTTCTTTTATTTTTGTTTCAGAATCATACAATGACCCAACATAGCAGTTAGTGCAATGCCCATCTCTTCAGGAGAATCCTTTGTGGCACAAAAAGGGAACACGTTTTACTCTTTGCACGAAACTTTCATTGTTAATGTATATTATTCAGAAACATTGTATTGTACCATAAAACTTGTATTATCGAAACTGTTGGATGTTCATGTGTTTGAACTTTTGAGCACCGGATAGACTTCCTGTATATAACGTGTTGCACATGTATTATGTTGTCTGATACTAAAATGGTCTTATAAAGACAAGTGGACTTGGGCCCTATTCAAGAAAGATAAAAATAATAATGTGTGAGGAAAAAGGCTTAAGAAAATGTCATTTTCAAGAAAGAGGGAGAAAAAATCTCTGTTATACTACAGCTGTTTGGCCTTCCTTTCATTTAAACTTAAGTCTAGAATCTCTCTCTTTTGGTATACAAACAGATGAATCTGAGACTATTTTTTATTGCTGAAGATTCTTGCAAAAAACATGAAAAGACACTTTCTCACAGAGCAGGAACCCACAGTTGAATAAGGCCCGTATATATATTTGTAAGCCTTGCGATATGACAGATAGCATTACCATATATGCAATAGTTGTTATGTAGATTGTCAAAGAAACTTTTTTTTTCCTGAATACCATTTGAAGCTTTGAGTGTTCAAGACTTTCCTTAATGATTTCACACAGCCAAATTCTTGACTCAGTTGAACTAACCTGTATGTTACTGTTATTAATGTTTACTCTGCGGTCTGAACCTGGAGATTACTGGAATTGTTTTCCAAGAGGAAATAAATTCAGTTTACCATTATGTATGAGTGCAATTGTGTCTTTTCTTTTTCTTATTACAGTACCATTAAAAACATATCTGCTGCTTCACTGCAGTTGAAACATGCACTTGAAGAAAATATTCACTGATTTTTTTTTTCCAATTAGCCAAGTCAATAGTTTTACTCCTATCTGCTTGATGCTTTGGCTCCTAATGGGTCACAGTTTATCCAAAATTTCTAATAACCTCAAGTGTGGAGCAATTATTTACATATTTCACATGCCGTGCAAGCCAAGCTTGCAACCTTCAAACCCTGGAGAGAGAGAAGTAGCGCCTAGTGATCTGAGTACAGGATTCAGAACCAGGAACGACCTCAATTCTAATCCCAACGCTGACACTGATTCTCTGAACCTGAAGTCCCTTACCCTTTCTACTGTCATGGACAGTGGTAGGGGGACATGGCTAGAGCATGCTGCAATACAGCGATCTCCACCAGCACAATGTCCACTAGGGGGCTGGTATAAGCCAGTGTAACTTAGCCCTGGCTGAGGGCTGATTGGTCCCTGGCTGCTCTCAGTGTAGAGGAGAAGGGGAAAGGCCGTGCAATGGCACATTAGCCCATCAGCGTGCCAAACACTGCTCCAGCTCACCTGAGAATTCATGCCAAAGACATGCGTTAGATATGTGGGCACTGTATTTCCTGTTGCTTGAGTTGCTGGATTCATCCTATTGAAACTAGTGTTGCTGAAATATTGCAGTCTTAGAATTGTGCATCACAACAGTCCAAATGGCTGGAACTGACAGCCTCATGCTGTCCGAGTAGATATAAAGGGTGATTTCCAGCTTGCTGACTGTCACGTTTTGACTCTCTATAGTTGGAGAGTGAAGGGGGTGGAAGCAAAGTACGAAAGTCTCTGGTTGCCAGATATTGAAGAAAAATGTGTCCCATTTAAAACTCCAGCCTCAAGAATTGTATGCATATTTTGCCAAGTACAAAAAAGAAATTCCTGGGTTTTGTATGAAATTCTCATTTGTGCTGACAAAAGGATAAACTCAGGCAACAGTACACAAGGCACGTAAAATGCCAGATCTATTTATAAGTCAGAAACTGTTTCCATTTTCATTCTCATTAATATATTGCTCATCTCTGCCAAATTGGATGTGATGATAAGTTCTTTATTCCTGACAGATACCTTAAAAGATATCAGACATTTCAGCCTTCGTGTGTGAAAGCATGACATATTGGTAAAGACTGAAAATAGCATGTTTCTAGTAGAGTTCAAATATATAAGAAATATTACACCCTACTGTTTTTGTAAATGCCAGAGTGCCACTGAGTTGAGACAGATGGTAGCTGGGAAAGATGCAATCTTATAATCAAAAGCTAAAATATGTCAAAAATATGTTAGCAAGTACAACACAGCATATTACTAGCATCTCATATCATGACAGCTTGCAAAACAAGCAAAGATGTTGAAATTCTAGTTATGTAAATAAAGTAACAGTAAACAGATCAACAGCAAATGCGATGATGGCTTTATGCATCGATTGTCCCTTCAGTTTAGGGCTGGGGAATAGGAAGGTCTTATGGTCACATTCATTCCCAGATGGATTCTAAGAGCTGGTTGCTAGTATCAAGTGCTGGAATCCACTTACCTTTTTGTGAGAAACAGGTTTGTTGGTGATACCTAAAAAGCTGTTTAAATAGATTACGGAAGACATTCAAACATCCCAATGAGGATTGAGTTTTCTGTGGGGATTTATCACAGCATTTAGAAAAACAGCAAGAGACACATATACCATCTTGCTCAATACACAAGGCTCTGTGTGTGGATGTGTGTGCGCACTTCAGCTACGGCATGCTATACACCCGTTTGAGTCAGCAAGAGCTACAATGAGCCAATCCTAAAACCAGTCACCAGAATGCGAAGGGGGAAAATCTGTTTCTCAGGGATGTTTTGCTAGATTGATGGACAAACTGTCCCCTCACCTCTAAGACCCTGGTTTTAATCCCATCATTTCTAAGAGACACGAGTTTTACTGTGGTAGTTTAATGAAATGATTAGTCCAGAATTGCCCAGGTTGAAGGGAGAATACATATAGAATTTATATTGCAGAAATGCAATAATTTATCCAGTTAACATTCTGAGCACAGGATTTCTGAGGAAATGCACTAGTGTCTGTCTACACAGAAGATGATCTGGGAATGGTCACTAACCTTTATGATTCCGAAATAAGAACTTTTATAAAACAATGTCATATGTGGTTGCCTAAAGTTAGGCACTTAAATCCATGTTTAGGCACTTAAATAATAAGGGAATGAACACTTGCAAGTCCTGGGGAGAATGGTGCTTATCATAGCTTCTTTGATACACTAACAGAACAATATTCTCATAGCTTTTCCTCATTTGGGGCACCCTTGTATAAAGAACTGTCAACAGTTGTCAAAAAAAATTGCATGAAGAGAATCCTAAAACAGGCTAATGTTTATTAACTGTTTCTAAATGGCAGAATCCAAGATGGAATCCACTCCATATTTTATTGACCATTATTGTAATCTTGATGTGATGAACTATCTACGTATGTTCTTTTGCTTTGTTTCACTGCCATTGTCCTCAACAAAAGAGAGGGGGAGACGTCTCTTACATACTGACATATGGTACCTTCTATTTATAACAAGATTAACAATTAATTCACACCTTGATTGAGTCCTGCTTTATTGAGATGTCACAATAGATTCACACAATCTGCAATGGGAAAGACTTACAACTGTTAATATTGTGACAACCAAGACACCTAACAGTAAATGAATCGTAACTGGCGACAATTAGATATAATTCAGTGTGAAAACAGAATATTGTGTGCTGCTGTAAAGTGTGATAGTGAGAAGGACTCCTTTGAATGATCCTATCCATAAATTCAGAAATGTAACCTTGATTCCAGTCTAATGTATTCATTCATACATTATTGCTCAATTAATGTTCAAAGGGTCTTTATGTCTTAGTGGTAAATGTACCATTCTCTTTTAAATGCTTGCTCCACTTCTCTGTAGCATGAACAAATTAGTCATTTTACTGAATCCATTCAATACATAGGGCTTTTCCCCTTACTTTCGCTTCCTTTATTTTTATGTATATGAGGGGTTTTCATTATATTATTATTATTATTATTTATTAGTGAACTGTGAGTGCTCTAGTAATGGACTCCCTGAGGAAGCTGGAAGTCCCAGGCTACCAACTCTTACATGCAGATCATCTTCTGTGTGTGAAGCACAAAGCATGACAAGATCTCACTCATGTTTCAAAGCTCTCTCTCTTTTCAGAGCTATTTGTTATTGTCTCCACCATCACAAGTTTAAAAAAAGAAAGTTAATTAAATATGGAACAAGACTGAGCAACATCTTTTAAACCATCATGTCATTAGAACTGGATTCCTCTGAGAGCCGCTTAAAAGGGGTTTGAGAACAATGACTGTTCAATCAGATATTTATGGGCATAGTTATGTAAACACACTCTTTATTGTCTATGTATATTTAATATAATTATCAGTTTTGTACTCGGACTCTCAGGAGACCCAACAAATCACAGTGTTGCTTTGAAAATGTCAGCAGAAAAGACAATTATGTTGCTTGCAAATATTCATAAATTATATTAAAAAGTCCTGTGAAAATGTATCCTATGTAGCAGAACCCTTTTCACCAATAGAGTAATCACTGTATTTCTTTGATTTGAATGCTTATTATAAGTAGCAAGGAAGTAACTTGAAAAACCTTAAAGGCACAGAGCTTACTAATCTTGGCATGTAGGCCAATGTACTTTCTGTATATATGAACACTTATTATTAATGATGTCTTTGATATGTTTTATTTTCTTTTAAATAAGGTTATTGAAACTAGAAACAATGGATTCTGTCCAAATGTTAGTACACAGGGACATATGTAACTCATTTTAGAAATTTTTTTAGATGATTCCTAGTATTTCACAATATTTTTGACTTCCACTTTTGCTCATCATACGTTAGAAAAAATAAGTGGAGAACTGTTCAGTAAATTAAATGTGCCATGCTTATGCTAAACCAATATGTGTGCTGGAGTTAGATGAACACCTAGTAAGTGCTTGCACTTCATTTCTACTGCAAAATATACAGTCTGCAGCTCAACATCTTAATTAGCAGCTAATGACATTTGAATGGGAAGGTTAATGTTAAGCACACAAATTCAGTTAAATAAAGTAAAAATGACATAAATTGAGATATTCCATTCTTAATTTATTTTTAAGGATAAATCTACTACAATGTTTTGTTGTAAACATAATTATATGTACCGGAAATATTACAGTCCTTAGTTATATGCTAGACTATATTCCCTGAGAACTAACTGTCCTTTCTAGTACACTTTATACTAGTGATCAATGGTAATGTTCCACGTCACTAATGAAGAAAAGATCATTTGGTCTTGTTTTGTCCTCCCCAGTGAAATAAATACACTTGATCCACAGACCTAATCTTCTGTTGAACACACAATGGCTTCTGAACAAGCTCAAGATGGTGGAGGTTTGAGTTTCATGCTTTTTATTTTAAATTTTAAGGGCTTTGAATTCATGTTTGGTTTTGTGTTTTCATTGACCGCTGACCAGTTATTCCTTGTGTAGTTTGGAGTGGAGCAAAATGGGGAAGTCTGTAGTCATGTGCTGAAAGATACCGATATGCATCCAGTATGACCTTGGGCTGTGATCTCATCAGATGTCAAAAGCTAAGCAGAGTCAGAATCATTAAGAACTTGGATAAGAGATCAGGTGCGCTATCAGAAATGGTTTTATTGATTCAGTAGGTAGCACTGGTCCCATTGAGACAGATACTGAACCAATACCCTCTCATGGGCTGGGGGCTCTGTGCTTCTGGAGGATGCTATCTTTCAACTGAAATATAAAGCTGGCCATGTACCATTACAGATCCTATGGCCCTTTTTGTAAGAGTAATTGTGTTAGTCACTTCTAATAACTCAGTTCTAGATGGGAGGAAATAATCAAGTGACCTCATTGGTG